TGGGGCCCCCCGTGAGCAGGGGGGCCAGGACGGGTGTTGGGGGGGGGGTCTCTGCAGCTCCCAGGAGGCGAATTCCAGAGGGAAATCCACTGGCTGGGCCTTTCCTGGGGTTGGTTAAGGATTAAACAGCTCTGTCACTGTTTAACCCGGGCGGGGGCAGGGGGGCCCTCCCGGCCATGGCAGCCCCAGCCCAGCCACGGGTGTGTTTGTCCCTCCCCCCTCCCCATTCCCAGGCTCCTGCTTCCTGCCTGGAATGACCCTGCCCTTGGCCTCGGGGCAGGGGGCCCCCTATTTATTCTATACTATGTATAAACCCAACGGCCGGGGCGGAGTAAAGGATGGAGCATGTGGAATAAAGGATGGAATGTGTGGAATAAAGGATGGAGGGTGTGGAATAAAGGATGGAGCGTGTGGAATAAAGGATGGAGAATGTGGCTCCTCTGTGTCCCTTGGGACATGGGGTTGGGACACAGGTCCCGTGCCCTGCTCAGGGTCAGTGGGATCAGGAATTTTACCCTTCAGGCAAGTGGTGGGAGGGGAAGGGAAAAGGGATGGGGAAAGAAAAAGGAAAAGAAGGGGAGAGAAAGAGGAAAGGAAAGGAACATTCTGGTTCTTAGGAGATGGAGCTGAATCTGATGGAAAAGGAGGAATCAAACAGACAAGGGGAGTAGAGAGGAAGGGAAGGGGAGGGAAAGGGAAGGGGAGGAAAGGGGAAGGCAAGGGATGTTCTGGTCCTCAGGAGATGAGGCTGGATCTGACGAAGAGGAGGGAACCACACGGACAAGGGGAGTAGAAAAAAACAACCAATGTACAATCCTCAAATATACATCCCGGGGCTTCCAAAGGATCCCGGGGGAGCCGGGACACGCCCGGCGTCCAGCTGCTCTCAGTGCAAGTCCGTGTGTCCCCGGCGGTGGCACGGACACGGGGACAGCCCTGCAGTGGGTGGGGTGACGGTGCCAGTCTGTCCTTCCCTGGGGCACCATCCGGGCAACCCCCGGCGTGGGGGTCACCGCGGGGGACCCCTCTGTCCCCACACCTTGCTGTCCCTCAGCGTCCTGGGCTCTCCCAGCCCTGCGTGGCCGCGGCCACCCCTGGGGGGCAGAGGGGACAGTGCCCAGCCCCGTGGCCGTGGCTCGTCCCTCCCTGAGCTGCCTCGGCGAAGTTGGGGGGGGGTCTCACACAGCGGCGGCGTCGGGCCCGGCCAGGCCCAGGTACTCGGGGTTCTCGGCCGTGGGTGTCACACCGGGGCCGCCCTCGGGCCCCCCGCCCTTGGGGGGGTCCTGGTTCCAGTAGTAGGGGTTGTCGAAGGCCTGGCTGAAGGGCCCGGGGGGCGGTGCCAGGTACTCGGGGTTCTCCACGGCGTGGCTGAAGGGCCCCGGGAACGGGAGCTTGGGGTCCTTGATGAGCCCGTTCTTGCCCTGGTGCCCCTTGGGTTTGTCCGGTGGGGACGGGGGCGCGCGGGGGGGACGCTCCCCGGCCTGGTTCACGTACTCTGTGGGGCGAGAGACATGTCAGGGACCCCCTGAGGGGGACGGGAGAGGCAGACACACCCTCCCCACCCACCTGAGGGTCCCATCGTGCCCTCCCTACCTGGCATGGTGCTGTGGGGGGCCACGGCAGTGAAGCCCTCGGGGTCCTCGCTGTCCTCGGCCACCAGCCCGGTGGGATCCTCGCTGTACCGGGGCAGGGGGCCGGGCTCCCGCCCCGGGGGGCTCTGCAGGGCCGCCTTGACCCCCCCATCCCCCTCTGGCACCTCGGGCACAGGGCTCTCCGGCCCCTCCACCAGGCCCTGGGCAGGGAAGGGGAAGGAGGACAAGCCCTCGCCTTCCTCCACCTTGGCCGGAGACTCCGCCGTGCTCTGGGAGTGGGAGAGGACATGGAGTCACCCCGAGGATTGTCCCTGTCCCGTGGGGTCACCCCATGGCTGTGCCAGGAGCGGGGGGTCCCTCCCTGCCCCCAGCCCACCCTCGTACCCGCATGGAGGAGATGCGGCTGCGGTAGGTGGTGGAGGTGTCGGCGCTGAAGAAGCCGTGGTGAGGCACCAGGTACTCCTCGGCGTCCACCAGGTCGTCCATGTCCTCCTCCTCTAGCAGCGCCCGGTAGAAGGTGCTGTCCATGGAGCCTGGCAGCCCCACCAAGTCATTCTGGGGGGGGGACACACGGGTCAGTGCCCACCCTGGGGCGCTGGCAGGGGTGACAGGACCCCTGGGGACCCCCGGGGACCCACAAACCTGGATGACCACAAAGCGCTGGGGGTCCCGGGCCATGCGGGAGAACTCGGTGACCAGCTCCCGGAACTTGGGCCGGCACTCGGAGTCGATCATCCAGCCTGGAGAGCAGGGCACCGTCAGGATATCTACCGTCAGGGCCCCCATGTCCCTGTCCCCTCCTTCTGATCATGTGTCCCTGTGCTGCCTCCATGTCCCCTCCCTGCATCCCCTGCCTGTACATTTCACCATGACCATGTGTCCTCAGGGTGTCCCCAGGGTGTCCCCATGTACCCTGCCTGAACGTTTCACCATGACCATGTGTCCCCAGGGTGTCCCTGTGTCCCCATGGTGTCCCTGTCTGTACATTTCACCATGATCATGTGTCCCCATGGTGTCCCCGTGTCCCCAGGGTGTCCCCATGTCCCCTGCC